ATTAAAGTATGGGTATATTTATTTCTCTCAAATGCATACAAGACAATAATTACACAACAACAAATCTTTTGTTCAACAATGATTTGATTCATAAGCATTTTAAATTTACATAATTTCACATCAAGACCCTTATTTTTTAAATACATTAAGTAAAAAAATCTCCCAAATAACCGATTTTTATACTTATTTATCCCTCTATACATTCAAACTTTAAAAAGTTACAAACTGAACATTATACAGAACATATAAATCATGTTTAAAAACTTGAGGTTTTAAAATCACTGCTCCCCCAAAATGATCCAGAAAGTTTCTCCCACAAGCAGTCACAGGCGGTAAGGTCAGCCAGAGGAGGAGAAAGAAAGAAGAGGCAGACACAGGTTGGCTGTCTTAATAGTTTACTAAGCCTGTCAGTTAAAAATGGTGGTGTCAGGAGAAACAGCAGTTTGGGTTTAACATGAAGAATGGAGTGTGCCTCAGTCCGAGACGTGCATTTTTCAAGTATTTTCCTATTTGATCTGAGCTCAATGCAGCAAACCCATGCCAAGGAGAGCAGTTACTTCCTCCCATACATTCGCTCGATGTCCGCCTGGTAGTGGGTTTTCAGCTCCTTGCGTTTCAGCTTGAAGGCATCCGTCACCAGACCAGTTTCAGGGGTCCATGGTTCAGGGCTCAATCGAATTTTTACAGGAATTTCAAACTTTTCCAAACTTGCTGAGATGGCAAAGAAAAAAATGTAAAAATAACATTAGAAATACACAATTAAAGTTCTTACCAAGTAATACAACTTCTCCAGGGCAATAGCCACCAAAATGCCCAAGAATGAAGCCAAATCTCAATCCCTGAAAAATATCAGTGTATGCTTAAAAGAAGGGGAAAAAAAGATAACTAAAATAGCAAAACACGTTTAACTGCGACAGCTCCACGGACTAAGTGCTAGCTTTGGCACGTGCAGGGAGGACCAGAATTCGATCCTGAGCACCACATGCGAGCCGGCCCCACCCTCAGGCACACTGAGCCAGCTGCAGAATCTGGGTGTCGTGGCACATGGCTATAATCCCAGTGCTGGGGAGGCTAAAACAGGAGGATCACAACATGTCCAAGCTAAGTAGTGAGACCCTGTACCAAATACATTTTTTTAAAAAAGTTTAATAATTACCTTTCAACACGAAAATAAGTAAAATAAATTACAATCATACATCCACATGGCTCACACCGACAAAGGGTCTACAAACTGCGGTACAGCGTTTCAGGGTAAATCCTGAGGGGATTTGACTGACCTTGTCAGATACAAAAGTTACATTCCTTGTTATATAGGTCTTGCTTTATCCTGGTCTTAACTATCCAGCAGAAAAGTATAAAAATGAGGTATAAAAAGTAAAGCTGTATTAATGCTAAGCTGTAAAAGGCTCAAGTAAACAACTTCTGACATTGTCAGTCCTACGGATAACCCACTACTATTACGGACTACTGGACTATATTGGATTATTTTGCTGAATTCACTCACCTACAATATTTAAATGGCAATGGAATACCCATCTCTGACAAAACTAAACAAAAAAGGGAATACAAATGAAGGACCATTTTGTATCTGTATATACAAATAGTTAGGATAGATATACAGCTACTTTATCTTAATTCAAGGAGAAGAAAGATTTGTACTATTTAATAGTGTTTGGACAGGATATCATGTCTGCATCTCGTACTATGAATAATCAGTACGAAAACAATATGCATGGGGCCGGGGAGATGGCTCAGTAGAATAAGTGCTTCCCTGGTAAGCTCAAGGGCCTGAGTTCAATGCCCGGTTCCACAAAAGAAAAAAGAAAAAAAAGAAAAGAAAACAATATGCAAATTATTAAAACTGTCGTACTAATTGGTTTTGAAACTCTCATTGCTATGTTCCTCAATAAAGTTAATAAAAAATTTAACTAATTAAAACAAAACAAAAAATAAATAAATTACAGTAATAAACTGAAATACAATTATTAACAATGGCCTAGATTTACATGGGTAACCAATCTATCAATAGGTTAAGAAAAAGGCAAGTTACAGCATGCAGCTGAGTACTAATGCGTCTACATTTGCTGAAGGAAAGAATACTCTCCAAAGATAAACCATGAGCCACTAGGACTGGGACCCAGGAGAAAGGAAAGGGAAAACTACAAAGAACAATTCTTTTAGAAATTAAAAAATAAGAAAAGCTTGACAAGAATTTTGTCATTGAGCCAGGATGGTCACTGCAGAGACAGAATGGCACTAACGCACTTTCCAATAGCACAGCCAGCAGATTTGTAAAGCAAATGCAGAAAGGAGAAAAGGGGAAAGGGAGGCATCAGAGGAAAGTTGAGGAGGAGGTGCAGTTCTGAAGAAATTTGTACTTTAATAAAATTGGTATTTTTTAAAGTGTCAGTCAATGTGTATTTACTAAAAAAAATAGAAGTTTCCACTCTCAAGAGGAAAGCACTGGGGCTGGTGAGATGGCTCAGTGGTCTAGAGCACCTACTTAGAACAAGCTTAGCAAAGCACAGGGACCGTGGTTCAATCCCCCAGCACCACATGCCAGCCAGCCCCGCCCCCAGGTGGGCTGAGCTGGCCACACACACACACACACACACACACACACACACACACACACAAATAAAATAAATTTTTTTAAAAAAAGAGGAAAGTACTGTGACAAATGGAAAAAGGTAAACACCCACAATCACATACAAATAAGAGGTGCTACTACTGAGGGCATGACATAAGCAAATGATAGACCTGGAAAGACCAGCGCTTACTCTTCCATCCCACAACAGTAATACATAAACTCATATATCACCCGCATGAAGCTGAGAAACCAGGCAACAGACTCTTGGACTCCAGGCAAGCACAATGCCATCCACATCAGTCTAGTTTTTGAAAATATTGTGGTATCCACATGGAAGAGCTCTTCTCTTGAGCACAGTACAGCAAAGAAAACTTTCAGCATGTGACAGAAAGAACCTCTCTCTCTCTCTCTCTCTCTCATTTGAATCAAAGAACTAACAGGACCAAGGCACAGGGTTGGGGCTGTCAAGAATAAAGACGGTAACATTCAATGGGCACACCAAGGGGCACTCCTAAGAAAACACTGGCAAGCCTCATCCGCTAGATTCCACATCCGGACAAGATATATCCCAGGGAAAGGCTTCTAGATGGCGCCAAAATCTCTAGCAGGGCTAACCAGGGAAGTCTTCCTGGCACAAAACCAGATGGTAAGCACTAAGAGAGGTAGTTGAGTTTTCAGATGCTCAACAATAAGAGAGATAAACACTAAAACAGGGCCTATTTGGCCTCTATGACTGAATTTAATCTCCATAAGCCCATCCCCCAACCCAAAGAAACAAACATGTAATTTTAGTGAGTGGATAAAGAACTCAACTGTTAGGGACCAGCAAGATGACTCAGCAGACTACAGCACCTGCCTGGGCGAGCTTAGGCAAATGCAGAGACCACAGTTTGATCCCTAGCACCACATGCCACGCCATCCACCCCCAGGGCAGGCTGAGCTGGCCAGAGTGGTGCTCGCCTGTAATCCCAGCGCTGGGAGGCTGAATGCAGGAGGATCATCATGAATCCAAGCTGTGTAGTGAGACCCTGCAATAATCAAATACATAAAATTAAAAAACCTCCACTGTCATAAAAATGTTCAGGGAATTAAAGGAAAGCACAAACAGAACTAAATGAAAATAAGGAGAGAAAAGAAATCATAAGGCAAAAAAGCTTGCAAGTTAAGAAGGAGTGAGATGACATCTAAATCACTGAGTAAAAGGGGGGGAAAATGCCACAATAGAATAAGGTACCAGGCAAACCTAGCCTTCAAAAGTGGAAGAACAGGGCTTGGAAGATAGCTCAGCAGAGTAAGTGCCTGCCTAGCAAGCACAGGGTCCCAAGTTCAATCCCCAATAAAGGGGGTGGGGGTAGGGGGGAGGCTGAAGGAATAAGGAAGACTTTCCAAGATAAAAATTAAAAACTTTTGTGCTTCAAAGAACACATTAAGAAAAGAAAAAGTACACAAAATGGGCTCATGTATTTGCCAATCATATACCTGATCACAGACTTGTGTTTATAATATATTAAGAACACACATAAATCAACGGTAAGAAGACAAAATTATTCAAGGGCCAATAGGCCCATTAAAAGGTTAGCCATCACAGAAATGCCAATCAAGCCACAAGACAAAACTGGGGCTAGAATTCAAAGGCCAAAGAACAAGTTCTCCTAACACCATGGTCAGAATGTAAAATAGTGCCAATATTTTGAAAAATCATTTAGACAAGAGTGGGAAAAAAATCTTCTAGAAGGTAGTCTGGCTATTCTTCAAAGGACAAACATGAAGTTAACCTATATCCTATCAACTCTGCCAATCAGGAATCTATCCAAGAGAAGACCCATGTCCACACCAAAGGCCCTACAGCAACGCTCACAGCAGTCTTATTAATTATTCATGACCAGCAAAAATGAAAACAAATGTTCCCTGGCTGATGTATGGATAAACAATGTGGCGGATGTCCAGAATGGGGCATTACTTGGCAACAAAAGGGAAAGAGGTAGTAATACAGGCTACAACATGGGTGAACGCTGACAACATGCTACGTGAAGGAAGCCAGTCACAAGAGCGGATATTGTCTAATTTCGCTAATCTAAGATATCCAGAACATGCAAACTTATGAAGACAGAAAATTACCTGGCAGCTTTTCAGAGAAAGAGGTTTGGAAGACAAAGGAGAATGACCACTAAACCTGTCACAGAGTCTATTTTGGGGAGATGACAACACTGCAGCGCTTACTGTGGTGACGGCTGTGCAGCTGGGAATGCAGGATGCTAAACCATGGCGCTGCACCTGCCACCTGGGGAAGCTATGTACAGGTCAACTCTACCTTAATAAAGCTGGTAAGCATGAAAGAGTTTTCAATGTTTCAGTATTGTCCCTTACTTAGAAATGATGTAGGTTTTTAGAGAAGATTCACTAATTGATTAAAGGTAGCATCAGCCTAAGATTTTAGGGTACTGAAACGTCAGGAACTGTCTTCAAGGTGACACACTACAAAACAAAATCACAGTTGAAATCAAAGGCCAGAATAATGTCTCCATTTGATTACATGGAAATTTACATTTTCCAGTCTTATATGCAAATAGAATAAAACCATGTTTGTATTATAGTTACTACTGAACTAAAAACAAAACAAAAAAAACCCTCCAGCTATTTTTATTAAACCAACTATACAAAATTGGCCAAAAAAAGAAATAGGACACAGGGTACAGCACATTACCAGGAAACTAACAATATATAAAATTCCAGAAGGACAGCTGGACCTTTCACTGTGGTTTAGTATGGCCAGAAAACAGCAGGGCCTTGGAGGTCAGCTAAGTGGAGAAAGGGTCAGCTCAGAAAACAGGCTGAACAAGCAGGGACACTGCACTACAGACGCGCGCACGCATGCTGGAACCAGGGAACGGAGCACTTGTGCATATCCAAAGGGACCTCAGCGGGAGACTGACGAGGGCTTCTTTTGCATCTCCTAACGCAGCAGTGGTCTCGGAGCAGGAATGCTGCACCCTGAGCCACATACACCTGCAGATGTAAGGTGTTCTCTTCCTCTCCCACTTCTCAGGAGCAGTTTCACAAAAAACTCACCTGAGATAGCAGCTTCAGAAAGCACTTTCAGGACCTCATTTTCCATTTCACTACTGTTACATAGCTCCTCCCAAGTCCCTTTAAGTCCTTTCTTTCGAGCCAGTTCTGTTAGTTCCTTTTGATTTGGCACAACAAATCCGATGACATACGAATGGTAACTGAAATACATGAAGAATGATTTAGCTGAGGAACAGATGGTATTGCCTTAAAAAGTCACTGATTACGCTGATATTTAGTAAGGAAATACTACTTTTTAAAAACTTCATGTGCCACATAATGCCACACCCAGCTTCACTGTTTGAGTCATAATACAGTCTAGAGCTCTGGCACAGTTCAGTGGTACTGAAATAAATTTCAATCTGACCATGACAAGTTTCAAGTATGTCTAACTATTGTGACTATACTATGAATATATTTTTAAAAGAAAATAAAAACTACTTAGTCACTGGAAAAAAAAAAAAACAGTACATTACAGGTGCCAACAGTTTAAGAAAAAATAAAATCTAATATAAATCACAAGTATACATAAAGAAGCTTGATAGCAAACCCAAATACTGTACTATATCCTTTTTCTTTAAGTGTTATGAGAATCTGTACTAACACAGGACCTCTGAGTACGTCCAGAGGCAAACATTTTTCTGAACACCATAAAACTTCAACCTGACGAAATGGCAACAGCAATAGAAATAGTGTCAGTTACTATGCAAGTGAAATACAGATCTACAGTATCATTAAAGGAAACCCACAGCTACTTTTTAATGAGCAGGATCACTTACAAATCAATACACAGGTAATGCCTGCAAATATCCCAAATCCAAAAAGCTCTAAATTTCCTATCCCCAAGCATGTCTATAAGGGGTTCAACCTGAAGTTCATCTTTAACTTGGGTTATACCTTGAAGTCTGATTCTAAACTGGTTTTTTGCATACTCGGTTTTATTTTCACACAGTTACGTGTCAACTGTTATAGCGATTCCTGTGCTTACCAACAAACAGCCAATCATGATGAGTGGAGTATAATGACAGCAATCCCATTATGGAAAATGTAATCAGGGTTTGCATCTGAACATCTCACACATTTCCCAGAACTGGAGTTCCCTGCAGTGCTACGCGTTGCAGCCACAGCTGAGGCCCAGGCCTGAGCAGGGCAAGCCTGAAGGCGAGGTAGTGGGCAGAAGGGCAGGCGGTCACTGACCCTCCACCAGGACTGTTCTGTGCACCTCAGAAAGCCAGGTGGGAGTAAAGGGTTGCGTTTTCAAATCTGTCACAATGGTCATACAGGGAGAGGTAATAAGGCAGAAGAAAGAAGACACAGAAAATGATGACAGGAAGTATGAGAAGCTTCACCCAATGGCTAGCAGGAGGAAGCACCACAGAAATGGAAGCATTTTCAGACTATTTATAAAGAGGGCCACACAGGAGGAAACCCTGACAGCACACCCTGTGTGCAAAGTACAAGCAGCAGGACTGGGCCTTCCTACCTGTTTGCATATGCACAGATGTTATCTATCAGCGGGAGATTCTTCAGAGCTGCCTCTACTTTCCCAAGAGAAACATACTCTCCGGCCTGCAGTTTTACGAGGTCCTTCTTCCGATCTGTGCAAGACAAAGGGAGGCAGGGAGGAGGGAACCCTGAGAATATCAGTGACACCCAAGTACATATAAACACTGGCAGTTTAGCAGGTAACTTAAAATTTCACTAAATTACCCATAAACTGTTATGCTAAAATCAAAAATATATAATAAAAGTAGGCCAAGTTTTGGTTCAAATACAGTCTACTCCACGGGTATGCTTATGGTATCTACCCATTAATACTAGCTGGGTGAACATGTAAATGCTCTCAGCAAGTCCACATCTACCTGGAGAGAAAGCACAACACAAACACAGAGCACTTCACCCATGGGGCAGCGCTGCGTGCTGAGACCCTCCAAGCTGGGGCCCGGGAACATTGCCTGCAGGCAGACCTGAGCTGAGCCTTGGGGAAGGAGTAAACGCCCCGGGTGGGACCACAGAGCCAGGCCAGCTCCAATACTGTTTATTTATTTATTTTTTTTTTCTTTTCAAAGTTTTATTGATAAACATATAGCAATGAGACAGTTTCAAATCAAATTGAAAGTACAGTTTCAACAAATAATACACTGCATACATTCTTCTTAGTGGTTAATTGCTGTACAAGATGCAGACTTGTGATCCTACTTACAAACACCATTAGAAAAAATCATTCTATTCATTAAGAGAATGCAACTATATATCCAATACTGTTTAAAGGAAGAGGGAGAGATGGAAGGGAGGGAGCGCATGACAGAGGTGCTGGGAGCTGAGCTCCAAGCTCCGGGCAGACACTGGCCAGCTACTCCAGTCTGCCCCAGCGCGGCAGGGTGTTGCTTCCCTGCTGACTGTCTCCAGCATAAGTTGAACAGGTGTCATTTGGAGCAGTCAATTCTTGTTTGCACCACCTAGACTATTTTAAATCAATTATTTTTTACATACTTTTTAAATTTAAAATGGCATATTTGCCTTTGTTGTTTGTTTCTAGTGAAATCCAATTAAGTTTTGGTTATATTCTTTCACTAATTTGTGTTTGTGAAAAATAACCTAAAATTTTGTGCTGCAACCTACAAAATCTCTTATCATACGAACATTAGATGTAATTTTTATACTTCTCCAGAACTCAGTGGCTTTTTTACAAAAAAAAAAAAAAAAAAAAATCGACACATGTGGGACACCAAACTGAGTAGGAAGTGTCAAAGGATCCACAAAAGAAAACACTGAAAAAGCGAGAAAGGCTAGTGTATCAGGGAAGAAACATCTGTGTTCTGAGATGCAGACAGCCCTTCCAGGAAGGTCAGCATTCGTTCCCTGTGCACTTGCTCCCTGACTTTGTTTCCTCCATTGGATGCCCACTTAGTCATATCTCCCTAGCAACTACACTTGCCGGGTACTTCTGGGTTGACCACAGCTCTGTCCCACCTCACAGCTGTCCTTTGATCTGCCACTGGATTGGTGTCACCTAACCACTGACACCTGTGATCTTAGTACCTGGTCACAGCTCTGTCCCACCTTATGCCCGCCTCACCACACAGCTTTGCTCAAGAAACACCCTGGAGAAGCAGGTTTGGTGGGCAGCCCACTTTCTGGGCCCCTGTCTGTCCCTCTCAGACAGTTTTCTTTTTCTCAATAAATTTTTCCTACTCTCTAAAAAAAAAGACACAACTTCTGACATTTCCAGTCCTACAGATAACCTGATACTATTATGAACTACTGGACCACACTGGAATATTTTGCTGAACTGAGGCACCTACAATACTTAAATGACAATGGAATACCCTTCTCTGACAAAACTAAACAAAAAAAGGGGATACAAATGAAGGACCATTTTGTATCTGTATATTCAAAATAGGATAGATATACAGCTACTTTCTCTTAATGAATAGAAAGATTTGTTCTAATAGTGTTTGTGGACGGGATATCATGTCTACATCTTGCACAACGAATAACCACTAAGACAACAATATACAATGTATTAATTATTGAAACTGTCCTAATTGGTTTTGACACTGTCTCACTGCTATTCGTTTCTCAATAAAATTATTTAAAAAATAAAAAAGTTTTAAATGAAACTGTCAATACTGTCATATGGATGATACTGACAGAACTGACCACCGTCTAACAAATTGTCCCATAATCAAAAAGCAAGAAAAAATACTATTATAAAATATTTACACAACTTCCGGACCTATCAACATGGAATTTGTTCATTATTTACTCAAATCAAGGGGCTCAAAAAGTCATTTACAAGTTAGATTAGGTCTAACAGACCTAATAATTAAAAAAGATGGGAGAGTGAAACACCAACCAGGACATTCATCATCAATGTCTTCATTAGTACACGTAGGCAAGACTTTTTATTGAAATTATACCCTTCAGAAAAAAAGGACAAGGACAATACAATAGTGTAAAGTATATTGTTCAGAAAAAGACGATAATGCAAAAAGAATCTGGAACTAGACTAGATACTGTCCAGATTGTAACGCTGCATATTTCAATGTTTTAAGATATAGCATACATGGAAAAATTACTGGATAAAACTGTCCTTTTAATATTTCCTATATTATCTTATAAAAATTAATGAAAAATATGTAATTTTGGTCATTCTACATTTAAATAATTGGACTAAGTGACCAAAAGGTATTGAGCAAGAAAGCGCCCTGGCACAAACAGTGCTAGTGATCACACCGAGGCAGTGGCTGCGGGAGGTTGGAAAGGCATGGGTAACGGGACTCTTGCAGCAGCGTGGCAGGGATGCAGGCCTAACCTACAAACATGACCAGAACAGAGAGAGAGGAACATGACCACCAGGCACACATCCTCAGCTAAATCAGCAGCATTGGACAGCCATGGAGCTGGCTGGAGGGAAGAGGGTTGCATCTCCTTGCCTGTGTCTGGTCAGCCCGATACAATACAGATGCTACCAACTGAACAGAGGCCTTCAGAGGACAAGCCACCAAAGGTCCTGCAGTTATTCTGCTCCAACCAGGTCATAATATTTGAGTTGCCAGGTTTTCCTGTGCTTGCTTGGGCAAGGCAGAAGCCTAAATTCAGATAGGAAAGCCCAGCCTAATGGCCATTCCCTGCCTGAAAAGGAAAGAAAGCTAAGGCAACTCAATAGTATTAAAAATAACATTGCTGTCGAACACGTTCTGATATCCCCTAACACGTCAAACCTCATCAATTCCTCCTTACACGCTTCTGAGCTCCAGCAAAGCCACTAGGGACCACACCAGCGATACAAAAAGACAGGACCTTTCATTATCACACAGCTTCTCTGAAGCTGTAGTGTCTCTAGCACAAAGCCACCTGAGGATCATTCCCTTTCAAAAACAAAACCAAAAAAAGACTCAATGACTCACCAATAATCTTCAGACAGCCATCTGGGTCAAACTCTCCAATATCTCCAGTACAGAGCCACCTCTGCCCATTTTCATCTTCAAAAAAGTCAGCTTTTGTTTTTGCTTCGTTTTTGTAGTATCCCATTGTCACATTTTGACCACCAATAAGAATTTCACCCCTGGGGTGTGGTTTATCAGTATTAAAATATCCACCTAATAAACAGGATAAATGAGGGTTAATTCACTACTTTTGTCACTCTATGTTTACCACATAAACATTCAAGTCTTTCAGTTTGTAAACAGAAATATCTTCTTTAATCCAGTTCAAGTTTCCCAAAGAAAACAAGGCAGATATGAACTGACCAAATTTATCACTATAAAACAAGGATAAATTGAATTTATTTAACCATAAGTATTTATCTTTTTCAGCTAGTATTTCATCTATGATGGAACAGGTTAAGTTTTTTTAAAGTTTCTGTAGTCTTAAATATCATGCTCATAAAATGCTAAAGTATGAAGTGAAGCAGCATATAATAAGATCTGTACAAAATCAAATCACCACACATTTAGAAGATCTATTTTTACAATTTTAGACTGACTCCAAGCCTAAATTTATTGGACATTTTCACAAATTGTGGCTAAAAGTAGTTGTAAAAGTACTTTGGAATGTAAGAATCTTTAATCTGTATATAGGAAAAGTATACACCAGTAAATCATGGATAATCTGCATCATACAGTATGTTTACAATTTTAAAAAGTAACATATTTCACACTGCATAAGCAACAAGCCTTCATGAAACTACAGTAAAACTTTCCTACTGATAATTTTAGGTTCAAAGTCTGAGAAAAAAAAAAGTAAAAATTTTCATGGAAAAAAATTATGACTGTGCTTAAAAAAAAAAAAACAAATCATTAATGTTACTCATTTAAGCACATTTATTAAGCTTTGGTCATAGTTCTTACTTGTATTTATATATTTAAAAGAAGCAAAATAAAATATTGACTCTTCAGAAGCATTTTTGGAAACACAATGTAAATGCATCCTCAAGCTCTAAGTACAACATATTTTATAAAGAATAAAAATGAGCACGTATGACCAATTTTATATTCTAAAATAAGAAAGAAAATACAACTTTTAAATTCTTCTAATTTTAAAGCCCAATCTTATAAAAGCACTTGCAACTCAAATAGTTTCTCACCTTCTTCCCAGTTCTTCAATTTGATTTCACAGCAAACTAATGGTGCTCCGACTCTGCCGGTGTTGTAGTCCCACACTAGGGCGCAAGGGAGACACGCAGTGAGCGCAGAAGGGCACAAGGTGTCCGCGACAGCGACATGCCCCACGCTTAGATCAGATCTCCACAGAGTTCTTAGGAGCACAAGTCACAAGCTGGCCAGGGAGAGGCCATGCAGTTTGCACAAGTGCACTCTTCTCACCCTACGTAGCTCTGTTTTCTTCTTTCTTCTCAACGGGAATTAGTTACTACCACTTTTTTTTTAAATCAAGAAATGTTTAATGTAAGTGTGAAATCGACAGCAAGAAGAGGCCCACACTGCAAGTACAGCAAAAACTGACAGTCCTGTGAGATGTGCTCTCGGCTCCCCCAGAATCCTTATCCCGTCCATGTCCCTTCCACAGTGCCCAGTTCATGTGCTGAAGTAACTGCTAGTCTTTACGCCCGCAACCCACCTTAAAGATGGGGGGAGCACAGCGGTTCACACCTACTGCACGTTCTGCAGGCCTCAGAGCCCTGCAGAGCGACCTCTGCATCCACTGCCACTTACACAGTCCAGAGTGAGACGCCCAGCCTCCCTCCACCAGCTTATGCTAGCACCTCCCACTTAGAAGCCAGACACAACTGCTCAGTCAGGCTTCCAAGGACAGAGGTAATGCACCCCCACGGCGTTACCAGACACCATACACACCTCAGAGATAAAAAGTTGATAGTTAACACTAACTGTATTAATCACACATTTAGCTTGATTCTTAAAAACAGAAGGAATTAAGGACCTGCAAAAGAAACTACGAACTACCTATGTGTGTATTGGTGATTACTTACTTCCTACAAATAAAACGTCTAAAGCTATACCAAGAACATTAACTACAAAGCAGGAAGATAATGAAATAATACAAAATAAATCTGGGGGCGGGGTGGCACATGCTTGGCCTGAACTACACTGTGAGATCTAAAAAACCAAAAACAAAAGAAAAAAATTAAGAAATTTAAAAATAAATATCATCTAAGAATAGAACAAAGAAGTACTCAAGACAAATAGGATAAAATGCTCACTTCCTTAAGTGCTCAGCATTTATCAGTAAGCATCCAGAAAATAAGAAAGAGGCACAGTTTTTCTACTACAGTGGGAAGCGGTGACTCTGGGCTGCGAAGGGAACGGAGCAGGACACTCGCAGAGAACAGCGAGCGAGCAGCGCACCCCTCTTCAGCTGACTCAAGAGGAACTCTGGCTGCTACACGGTTAAAATCTAGTTTCCTTCTACACTTACAGAACAGCCAATAAATATTTGTCAATCTGAGCCATAATTCACTTAGCAACAAAGGGGGGAAAAGCATTTTTCTACAAAAAAGAAATTTAATAACTGATGTAAGAAAATATAAGATACATATAATAAAAGAAATGCTTTTACTATGTCTTTTCCAGAACGCCAATTGTTAATATTACATAGCATGAAAACTTCTTTCAGATATATCTAATACATTTTAAAAATTGTTATCAATAATCACAGCTCCTGGAGTTTACCACTGCTCTGCTGTACAAAAACATAAATTACTCTCTTCTCTGACACGTTTTCAGAAAACAGTTCACAGTCAACACTATGCCAGAAGCTGCGCCCCACGGATCCTCTGATCTGACATTTTCTGGGCGGCACTAACCTTCAGTGATTGTCCCGGCGCCCGTGGATTCAGTGAGTCCATAGCCCTGCCCCACGGGACAGCAGAAACAGATGTTCATGAACCTCTGTGTGGTCGCAGAGAGCGGGGCACCGCCACACAGTAAGAGGCGAATGTTTCCCCCTAGCAAGCTCCGCACTTTCCGGAAAACAAAGCTAAAAACATGAATAAAAATTCAGAGAATCATAGGATATTCTATCTTTCAACTAATCTCAATTTTGTCATAGAAAACTCTGTGATTAAGTGACCAACCGAAGCAACACTGCGAGTTCATGATCTTCACTGTTAAAATTTGAAATTTAGTAATTAACCATGTGAACAATATGAATTTCCCCATTTTTTATTTTGCAGTGCCGAGGAGGATCCTGGAAACCTTGGGTCTCGTGCTTGCTGGGCAAGTGCTCTACCACTGTGCCACACTCCTAGCCCTTGAGTCGGGGTCTTGCTAAAAGTTGCCCAGGTGGCCCCTCAACTGCTGCTCTTCCTGTTTAAGCCTCTCAAGTAGCTAGGATTATAGGTGTGCATCAGACCATTTGATGGGTTTGCTTTTAAAAATATTTGAATTCAATATTGACTCAAAAATTAATATTTGAATTCAACAGTGTCAGATTTAGTTTTGCATAGTAATGGAACTCCCTTGTTTGTAGTCGGAGCAATTAATTCTACATTATATGAAGATATATATATATATACAAGTCCTACAAATCACTAGATAATACAGAATTATATTCATACTGAACAATCTTGTATCTTTAGAAAACCACTAAAGCCAAATTATTTCCTTTGGTTACCTTATTAACAGACATATGTACTTATTTTTAGTCAATAATCTACCTTAAAATCTCACTAATTCAAGTTTTAAAGTATTTATTGGTTTTAAAAATCCTAGCAAAGGGCTGGCCAGATAGCTCAGTGGATTAAAGCACCTGCTTAGGCAGAATGCAGAGACCAGGGTTCAATCCCCTGCGTGCCCCACCAGCGCCGGACCCGCCCCAGGGTACACTGAGATGGCAACCAAGACTGGGAATGGTAGCATGCGTCTATAATCCCAGCTCTTGGGAGGCTGAAAACGGAAGAATCACTGTGAGTCCAATCTGCATAGTGAGATCCTATAGACCTTGTACTAAATACAAAAAGTTCTAGCAAATTATTTGGCAGGAATTTTTTTTTTTTTTTTTCTTGAAGGGGCAGAACTATTAACTCAGGCCCTTGAGCTTGCCAGGCAAGTGCTTATGCTACTGAGCTAGCTCCCTGACCTCAGGCAGGAATTTCAAAAGGTAAACAACTCAAATATCTAATTGATATGTTCCTGAAAACATACTAATAAAGTTTCTTATGACCTCAATCAAAAGTAGGATAAGGGGGGGCCGGGAAGATAGCTCCGTAGAATAGCACTTGCCCGGCAAGCTCAAGGGCCTGAGTTCAATCCCGGGTTCTGCCAAAAAAAAAAAAAAAAAAAAAATGTTGGATAAAGGAAGAGGGACCAGGGCGCAGCTCAATGGTAGAGCCCAGTCCTAGAAGGTGCAAGGCCTAGCTCTATCTTGAGCACTGGAAACAAAACAACTTTGAGAAAGATGAAAACTGAGTGGCAATCATTTTTTAAAAATTGTGTTAACAGACTTTCCATAGAGACTTACATATTTTGAAAAGACAGGTAACTACACTAAGACAGGAAAACATCAAAAGTTCTAGATAGTGTGAAACATCTGAAAACTATATTCAATTACCACACTTTCATGTTCTACATTATTTAATAATAAAATCACAATTCTACTTACTCTGCTAACACTATAGAAACACAAGTGGGGAAAACTACTCATTTACAACTTTAAGGATAACATATCTAGTCAGTATGTTATTTTACATTCACACTTAAGTAAACTTAAAAACAATGTTTCTTGTAAAAACAGTATCTCATTCTCAGAAGATACAAGCACGATACTGAAAATTATAAAATTAAAAGTGAAAATTTTCAAATTCTTACAAACGATGGAATTTTCATATGTCCCTATGATTTAAGCCACCAATGGCACAGGCATGATTGTTCGAAGGGGTGTCTTGTACCACCAGTGGTACAAACAATCTTCTTACTAATATAATTAATAAAAAGACTCCCAATGGGACAGTCAGACATGTACTACTAATGGTGCAAACCATCCAGCAGCAAGATGTACAGCCCCATGGTGAATATATTAAGAGTTCCTTCAACTTTTAAAAATATATTTACTTCTTGTAACTATTTCACTTTCTTGGGATGCTAATGTTAACTAAATCATTCACTAATCAAGGGGAGAGAGGAGGGAAGAGGGTTGGCACTGGGCTATTACTTACCGGTCACAGAGTGGGGTACTGCGGCCTTTTGAAATCTGCTCCATTTTGTAATTATAGGCCAGAATAAATAAATTCCGTTGAAAACTACTCATTTCATTCACTTTATTCATGACATTTTTGTAGATTCGATCCATGATTTCCTAGATTTATAAAAATGAGTCACTATAATTAACTGTCATAAGTACTTTAATCTTAACATCCAATTAACATTTGTGTCAATATTAAGACATTTTAGGGGGCCTGCCCTTTAGCTCAGTTCTTTAAGTGGCTGCTTCAATAAAGCAGGTTCAGGTTGCTGTGGTTCAATCCCCACAACTCAAGCCAGCTAAACATGCCCTGAAGACATTTGGAACAGAAAAAAAAAAGATATTAAGACATTTTAATAGATATAGAGCTGACCAGGACCAAACTGAATAAACAGAGCTACTATCACTGTAATTCCAAAATGGAACTGCTGTAAAAAAAAAAAAAAAAAAAAAAAAAACAAAACTAATTTTAACAGCATAAATGTATTTAGGTATACATATGAATGTATCTAGGTACATATATAAGGGGAAAACAGAAATGCCTACTAGAGGAATATACAATTATAATTATATTGCTTTATTTTACTGACTCTGAACTCAAAACTAATTTCACAAAATAAATCACTAATTAGAAAGTTTTTAAAAATTCTCCCAAGTTTATCCTATAAAAATATAGAGGTACCACATACTTGGCTCATAAAAGGATCATGCATATTTTGGTTTTTCAATTGGTGGTCTAATGATGGACCTGGGTAACTTTCCTTGTCTGCACTTTGCTTCGCTTGCTAGACTTCATACTAGCAATTATACTATAATGACAAAATACTTTTTCCTTTACAATTCTCAGTTACATTCACTTCTAAGTATACTAGTGATTTAAAGGACACTACTTCAGAAACTAATTAAATCTACTTCCCAGTCACTATAATCATGGCCCACGAGAGCACTGGCCCATCCAACAACCTCCCAGCATGCTCCCTGTTGTCCTGTGCTGCCATTATTCCCAGACCTGCCCAGTCAACTGTGAAGACACCCAGGCCTCTCAGGCCCTGCAAAGCTGCACCAGGCTCTCGGGCACCATTTGGTGATCAGGACAGACTTTCCCTGATAGCTCGTGAGATAATTTTACAATCCGTGTAGAAGAAAGTTATCTCAAACCTTTCTCTTATCTCCTGCTGGGCTTCAAGTTTCTATTCATCAGTAAATACATACTATATGCTAAAAATGATTTTAGAAGCTGTTCAGGGAAAGGAGCTAGTAATATACAAAAGTTAAAATTTGACTGGGTGCTAATAAAAAGAGAAAGCAAGAATGAATAAATCCTGTGAAGCTTAAAGTGGTGTCAATAATCCCCTGAAGAAAGTGCCCTGCCAGCTGGGGCTGCTGGCACGCCTTCAATAGTCAATTCTAAATGACAGCCATCACCTACCGGAACAGCTGCCATCAGTGTTGGCTTCAACATGGATGTGTCCCCTTTGCTTCCTTTTTTTATTTTTGAAGACTGTAAAATGGAAAGAACAATCCACATGAGAACTGAGTTGCTTTTTCTTTCGTAGTACTGGGGACTGAAACCAGGATCCTGCACTGAGCTACATCCCCAGCCCTTGTGTTTTATTTTGAGGCAACGCCCTAAATTGCTCAAGCTGATCTTAAATTTGCAATCCTCCTGCCTCGGGTAGCTGCAATTCCACATGTGTGCCACTGCACCTATCTACTGTGATCATCATTATTAAAATCCAATGGAATTCTTAGACTGAAGGAAATTAACACATTAGAAATTTACCATTTAATGTACTTACATTCTAACAAGCACTTAAAGGAGCTAATTTTTAAACAATTAACTGTTATCCTTATAACATATTGTCAAAAAGAAAAAGATAAAGTGTTAATAGTAGCTTCTTAGTATTAAGTCACAGACACTCACCTGATCTGCTAAAGTCTGCGGGGAAGAGTAACCAATGCGGCATCCGTGTGAAAGACAGACAAGCTCAGCACTTAATTCTAGAACGTGAGCCAGGGGCAAATATCCAATGTACACATCTTCCTCTCTGAACCAAAAGAGTGATACAAGAAGCAGAGGTCAGGTGTGCTCACTACCAAAATCGCTGGTGCCTGGATCGGGCGTGGTGACACACAGAGGGCCGCTTCAGGCATCGATCTGAGCTCTACCTCCGCCAGGAGAGAAAAGGAGACGGGGTGGGGCTGGGGACACTAGCAGGAACTACAGCTCAACCAACACCGAGGCGGTCAGTATTCTGGGAAGCGGGTCTTTCAAAAGGCAAAAGGAATCATTTAAGGAGAGTGTCTCAGTTTTCTGTCCTTGATGAGACAAAATACCTGCCCCCAACATTACAGAGGACAGGGCTACTCAGCTCAGGCTGCAGAGGCTTCCGTCCAGATCTGGCTGGCTCACGGCTGAACGGTGTGTGGACAGGCTTGGCAGCATGGAAACAGTCTGTGGCAGGCAGCATCAGCAAAGCCACAAAGGACAAGAGGGCTCTTTCCTGTGCCTTACACTGTACCCGGGCTATCAGGATTAGGCCGGCACCGACCCAGGCAGGGGACTGACTGAGTAATCGCCCCCCTTAAGCCTAGAATTGCACTCAGTCCAGCACACAGTTTGGGTTCAGGCACCTTTGAAAAAGCCCCTGCTATGCCTGCAGGAGACCTCAGGGGGACATCTAGACAGGGCCACAGAAGGAGATCTGCTCTGTGGAGCTAAGGGGACACCAACCACAAGAGCCCTTTAGAGCCCACAGGTTCTAGAACCCGTCAGAAATCTTAAGAGATGCCTGTTCCGGGAGTTGGCTGACTTACAGTATCTTAAAATGTAAGTCATATGTGTCCACATTTCAAGAACTTCCCACCCCTAAAATATGGAAGACAACTGTGGCAGACCAGATGGCAACCTCCCTTACTATTTTCCTGCTGTGTACGGGATACAGATATAAATTTCTCTGAGATTCAACCCACAACTGTGTATGTGCACGTGTGATATAATGCTGCAAATAAAAATACCCACACACTGTACCAGGTCAGTCATCACAGTACTAATCCCATGGGCTCTAAAACTGTTTCCTTCACAATCCCTTACTATCTGCTATTCTTCAGCAGTCTCCTCCCACTCCATTATAACTCCCCTGCCACCACAGGAACCTGCCTGAAAAGAGACTACAGAAACAGCCTCAATAAAATGTTTGTGGATAGACTGTTATTGTTCATCTGATCTGTAGATACAAAAATGAGTAGCATCATAAGGTAACAATTCCAACTGATTAAAATAATTTAAAATTAAGGAATTACCACTATAAATTCAGTAAAAATTTGCACTTTTAAAAAGATAAATACAAACACATAATGCTTGTCATGACATACCAATTACTGTCATATTGTCTCTCAAGTAAATGTTTTTTGTTTTTTTTTTTAAAAAAAAGGATAATAAATGAAAACAAGAGACAAGAAAAGTCAAGTCACAGGACTGTCCTGCTACAAGGCTGCATATGGTTAGATTTCTAAATTTCTGTGTAAAAATATGCAATTATTTATTCCTATTTTTTTAATTTTTTTCTTTCTATCCTGGAGGGACTTAAAAGTTTAACATATCAACACTTGGTGGACAATACCTGTTCCATGCTATGCCTAAGATGTTTGATATTCAGACAGATAGTGAGGTTAAGCTCAACTGCCTATGCTGTAGGGTAATAATAATACACTTCTCTTCTGGAGGGATAAAAATCTAAGTTTGCAGACCAAAAATTAGAGAAAAAAGAAGAGCTGCAACATTTTGGCCTTCGCTTTTCAAGGTCAGTGAAGACTCAGAAATAGGAGAACCTGTACTGTAACATCATGTAACTCAGCTGGGTCCCAAATTTTCTGATCAAAGAAATTATGAGGCCACAGAGGAAAGTGATCGATGATGTAGAGTGTGCCTAAGGAGAGTCACATGGAGAGAAAA